CTTATAGGGAAGCTTCTTTACATCATTAGGTATCTCTAACATGAATTTCAAAAAAAAAAAAAGATATATATTTTTTTTATTCAACTTTGAACTTTACAACCTGTCATAACTTTTTTTATTTGAATTGAGGACTTAGCATTTATTAATAAAGTTATAGAGCTACTCAATAGCTTTAAAATGACACCAAAATCAGCTCTGTAGGTGCCATACTTTTCGAGATATGGTCGGTTAAACACGCAAGGTATCGCTAATTAGCCAAACGTTCGTTAGCAGATATCTCGCTAATTAGGAGGCCTAGAGAAAAAAATTTTCATTTCTGATCGTTTCTCATGGGCCTCAACAACATACAAAAATTTGAACAAAATCCGAGAGATTGAGGTTTTTTTTTGGTTGATTTGACATGGAATTACCCAATAAGGACCAAAGGAAAACCCTGACTTTTAGCCTAAACCTTTGCGCCAGCTGCTCCTATGAGTACCTTAATCCATTAGTTAGATTATGAGGACATGTATGCCTTCGTGTTATATAACTTTAAAATTCCTTTTTTTCTGCAGCGGAATCTGGCTAACACTTATGAAGGCGGAAAGCTAAACCTACTGACTCTTATCCACTTGTGGAACCTCTCACTTCACTTATACCTAGAGCAGCTTAACCAAGGTGATTAGAAATGTTTATGGATTTATTTTAAATGCATATAGACACTTGCGTGTGTTGAACAAGAGCATATTCCTGGTCCTGTTTGCCATAGTCAGTTTACTATTTAAATTACTTCATTTTATGGGTGTATATAATGTATTTTCAATTTTGAGGGCCTAATCATTGTTAGCATATGGCCTTAAAATTGGAAAATTAAGATCATTAATTTTGCTGATAACTAACTTGAAGATTTTTGTAGTAAAAGGTCTGTGAAATGAGTAAATTGTTTTAATATGTATTTCATTATAACTTGTTGACTTATTTCCTCCATTTGAATGATCAATTGAATGTTGAACAGGTAGTTTTCTAGTTGAACAGGTAGTTAATTTCTGAATGTTTACCGCAGTCTTTTAATAATCAATTTTTATTTTCCTCTTAAGTTTCTCTGCCTGATTTTGGAGAGCTTGCCCCAGCTGTAGTCACACAGGTACACAACCAACACACACACTTGGCAAATACACACACCCTCAGGTAAGTCAGTAAACACATAAAGAATTCAATTTTTTAAAATATATGAATTACTCCTAAATGTTATTTGATAATACAGTTTTACACCAAAATAATTATTTCAAATGCATCCTTTACAATGCAGATATATTTTAAATATACTTGTTTTAATTAGTATTATTGTTGTTTATTCACTTGCTATTGTCACTTTCTGCGGGTTGCAAAATCCGAATCGCCACTGTAGTTATAAGAACATTTGCCTCCCTGAAGCAATTCATACAACAGTAAACAATAAATAAAGTTGGTTGCTATTGTTGTTATCAATATTATTATATTTAATGTCCAATCGCAAAATTATTGTTTTAATGGAATCAATTTGACCTTTTATTGAATAAAATGATAAGGTTTTGTTATATGCAGGTCAACTCTATCCAATGAGCTACTACCGCAACTTAAGGAGTCTATAGCAATGCTGAAGGAAGAATTAGAACTTCAGGGTGACAGTACATTAAGACAAACAGACTCCTTAAGTTCCTCTAGAAATAAGGTTTGTATTTCATCATATCAATTGCCAATCCACTGCAAGGACTACAAAGTCTATTTTGAGCTTTCAACATCCACATTATATGTATCTGGGTAATGTTATCTTGTTGTTATGCACTGAATTGTGCCATTATTTAGAAAATAGGGATGAAATAACACTAATGTGGATTTAAGCTAATGAAGAGTTACTATTTAATGGAAATTTATATTGGCTTCACCTAGTAAAGCATTCACATAATGTAGAGTATTAACTCACTATTAGCTCACATTGTTTCTTGCAATAATAATAAAACTTACTTTAAATATTTTTAATCAAATTAACTAATTGTGCTAGGGTTACCTGCTGTCTGGATTGGCTGATAAATACAAAACAATAATTATTGACATTTTTCAGTTTCATGACCTTACCCTTCTGCCATCAACACCACCGGTATCGTTTCAACCAGACACAAATATGAGAGGCGGTACACCACAGGAAATCACAGGCAAACCTTTGCAGAAGTCACCGGATATTAGTAAGATCAATTGTTTGGTTCAAGATAATTTAAAATTGTTATAGGTGTAACGTTTTTTAAGAAATCTGTACATGCTTTACATTATCATGGAGTCCAAGTTGGAAGAAGCCACTTCTGGAGGTCTGTTTGAATGACCTTCCTTAACACATAAAACTTTATTTCACAGCTTTTGGTATTATTCATGGCCAGCTGAATGCATGGAGACACTAATGCAGTAGTAAAACATACTAACATGATGAATTTACAGATTGAAACAATTCAATTTTACTGATTTACCTATCCTGTCCTTGGAAAATCTTTAAAATTAATTACCAGTCATTTTAAAATATTTATACAAAGATATAATATATAAATGTTATTATTTACTATATTCATTTTTTTATGGTGAGGTATTTCTTTTTCATCTCTGTATTTTCACTGTGATTGTTGTTCTTAACTTTGATGAAATAAATTAAATGAAACAAAGGGAGTGTTTTATTAATGTTACTAAACATGGATCTCATTTTGCAGTGAACACACCAGAGGCAGCCTCCCTCCTTAGAAGTGTCATCGACAAAGCTGCACTGCGTCGGACCGCAATAGCCCAAGGAACACCGTTCAGCACTAATAGAAACCTGAAATATATGGGGTAAGCTCCTGTTATTTATTTCAACATTGTCTTGTTCCCTTTATTATTTATCTACAGTGGCGGATACAGGATTTTTGTGGGCTTGCATTAGTTGGAAATGGAAATCTATGACGCGAGGTTTGCAGGACCTTTGAACCAAGGGGATGGATTTGAGCGCCGGAATTTTACCGATTTTTTTCTTGGCTTCTTCTGACGTAGCGAGAGTCCCTTGCCCCACCCAAGTTTCTGCCACCTTTATAACTGAAACTGATTTAATTGATTTCTAATGCGTCCATTTTTATGCAGATTTTAATTAATTATAGTAATATTTTTTTTATTTCAAAGATCTAAACTACCAAGACCAACAACAACTGTTGGAAGTGATGTAGTAGAAGACAGGAAAAGAATCAAATCTGCACCATCTAGAAGCCAATGCACCTCAACCGCATCATGTGAACCCCTCAGGCACCCTAAAACAACCAAGAAGGCATCAAATGGCAGCTATATCCATCACCAAATAGGAAACCAAACTGTGGAGGATAAAGCTAACAAAGATCATGTCAAAGATCATGTCAAGGAAAGAAGTGATGTAAAGAAAACTGACACCAAGAAGAAATTCAAGGTACATCGACTGTCATATTTTTTATAAGACTTTATTTTATTTTATTTATTCTATGAATCACCTTTATTTTGATTTTTTTATGGGCCAAGTATTGCTAATAGCAAGTATCTGTCCTATTTTCTTGAATCATGAATGATATTACCAATCCTGTTTTATTTTTAGCCTAAAAGAAATCACCACCACAAACTAAGTTCTGCTGTAAAAGCCACAACCAAAGCCAATGGTAGTGACACATCAGCACTCAGAGACATCAACACATTGGCAGTCATTGACATTGGCACCCCAGCAGTCAAGGACCTTGGCACCCCAGCTGTCAGTGACACTCGCACACCAGCTGTGAGTTCCATCAATAAACCTAAGTCGACTGCTAAAGTAACTACTGCAGCTCATACGCTTCTGGCTGATCAGGTACTGAATGTATAATTTTACAAGTAGTGAGGATAATTTTTGACAAAAGCACCAAATCTATTTTAATGTAACATTCATTGATTAAGGACTTGCTTTTAACTCATGTTGTGACCTTATTTTCTGCATTTTTATTCATGTTTTGTTTTGTTTTGTTTATGTTTTTTTTTGTTTTATAAGATTTGAATGATTTACTGCTAGACATGATACCATTAGCAGTTGATTGTTAAAGTATTGCATTTTCTTTAGATTGCAGATGCTGTGGCTGGATCCTTTGTGGATGGGAACACACCCTCTCCAAACTCACAGCCACTTGCCTTAGATGATCCTCTTGCTGCATTACATCAAACTGCTTTTATGACGAGAGACAAACTTAATCGAACTCCAGAGAGAAAAACTGCCAAGGAAAATGGTGAAGAGAGGGTTTCAACATCGAAGAGTTCACAAATGCCTACAAAAAATCTGTTTGATGGTAAGTTGTTGTCATTATCATTAATAGTAATTAAAGATAAATACTGTAATTTTTTATGTGTAGGCCCACCACTTAAATATAGAATTTGTGGGGGAGTTTTTACCAGTGAACAATATTGTACCTGCAGTAAGGATAAGATAAAGTTGGGTGATATGATATCCCAATTATTTACTCAGGTGGACTTATACCTAGATTGATCATTTTAACTCAAAAGTTATGTTTAAGCTTATAACCAATAAGCTACATTGATAACAAGAGCACTCAGTAGAGAGCATATCTCCGCCCAGCGCAAATCCCTTTCTATTACATACATCTCCCAAAATATGTTCCTAATTTACTTCAACCACCATCACCCCCAAATTACTTTGCTCCGCTTCTCTTCAAAAACACCCAGTAACTTGCCCAAACACTTTTATTTCAAAGAGGGGCACTGTTTCCACATTTAGTATAAGTTTTTGGAGAATTTTTTTTTGGAGTTGCCATTTTCAGATTTTGTATTCCGAAATGATTTCACCAAAATTCATGGTCGGCTTACTTGTCACTACACATGTTACGTCTTGAACAAGGAATCCAAGCAATTGAAACATTTTATTTTCAACTACTGAAACTGTAAAAGAATGTGGCAAACCACTTACTTTCCAACCACCGCCTACTTAAAAGAATACACTAACCGGTAAACCGGAAATGCCTAGGCCTTTTATTGTATTAGTGGTATACCTGCCGCTTCCTTACTTCTTCGGTTAAACACTTTTATGGTTGACAAAAAAATACATGCCAAGTATTTGTGTTGAAATGGAAATATTATGCAAATAGTCAATGGTTCTTAGTGTCACACGTTTAAATATAAAAATGCATTAAAAATATTCTCAATCAGTTCCCAAAAACTGAAGTTAGTACATATAAAACACTGTACAGATAAACTGTAATTGCATTTATTTGAATACTCATCACACAGCTATTGTTATCTGCCTACCGTATATGGTAAACCAATTCTTTAAATGGTCCTGATGCACACCCTACTTAGGAGCATGACTAAAATGTAAACACCTTTTCATTAAAATAAGACAAACAATTCTGGAAAGCGTCATTTTGATCCATTGATTCATTTTAGAGATATAGGTCTGGGAACTAATGGCCCTCAAATGCACAGCCGAATTTGGATCATCACCAACACTTCATAATTTTTTTGTTGTAACTTGGTTAATCTTTCACGAACGTTTCATTTAAATCAGTTGATTAGTTTCTGAAATATCTGGTCTGGGACGTTTTGTTTGAATGGTCCTCATATCCACACCCTACTCCGGATGGTCACCAAAATTAAAACATTTCTTCATCGAAAAATGACAAACTATTCTGGGTAGTGTCATTTAGAGCCATTGATTATATTTAGAGATATTTATGCTGGGACCTTAGGATTTTAAGTGGCCCTCAAATTCACACCCGGATTGTCACCAACTTTCATTTAAGATCTGTGCAGCTGTTTTTGAGATATTTTGAACACAAGAAAGACACACGACCTTATAAATTTAAATAACCCTCAAGTTCACACCCAAATTTGGATCGTCACCAACACTTAATCATTTATTTCTTGTAACTTGGATAGACTTTCACAAAAATTTCATTCATGTCAGCTGATTAGTTTTTGAAATATCTTGTCTATGACGTTTGCCCTTAAATCCTTTAAATGGTCCTCACATCCACACCCTACTCCAGACCGTCACCAAAAATTAATCATTTCTTCATTGGGTTATACCTAACACTCTCTGTTATTTTCAATTATGTCTGTGCAGCCGTTTTTGAGATATTCGCCCACAAAAAAACCACATGAAAGCACAAAAACGTGACGAACACACACAAACTTGCACAACTGAAAGCATATATTTCCTGGTGGAGATGATAGTAATAATAATAGTAATATTATTAATAATAATAATAATAATTATAATAATAATTATTAGATTTGAACTCGTCACTCAGGATGAGTTAGGTGATCCGCTTGTCAGGCAAAAGATATTGCCCGGTGCTTTTGATTGGAAAAATATAGTAGCCAGAATTGTCAAACTGCAGTTCTATATCAAGTCTGCCACCCCCTCTCGAGTTGTCAAAAAATTAAAGAAAGAAAGTGGTGGGGGAGAAGTCAGGAAAACATTCATTTTTACCATGATGATGTCATCAAAGTGAAAAATAAATGACACATTCCCCTACACCTACAAAACAAAACAGGGGATTCAGCAAGGAGTGTACGTTCTTGCCATTACCACTAATAACGCACATCGCATGAATGGCGCGGTCGGTTAAGCACATGTTCTAAAGAACATAAGGTCGTGGGTTTGATTCGCGTATAGATATTAAATATTTAGAAAAAAAAATAAGGTACATGACATTCATCCTTGACCTGAAGTTTTATGCCCATTGAATGTGATTAGAAATGTCAATTGGTTATGATGATATGGGAGTCATCAAAGTCTTGAGAAAAGAAAGATGAGGGGGTGTCTGAAAAAAACATTTATTTTGACCATGATGACATCATCAATATGAAAAAAAGTCACATTTATGAAAGAGAATTGTCTCAGCTATAACATACTCAGAGTTGGGAGATGATCGATTAAAGATAAGTGAGATACGCTCGAATGAGTATTTAAACAAATGACGTTATAGGTAAAAATTTAGTTTTTTTATTTCAGATGGCAATATGATGATGTCACAATGTCCGATCAGCCATAATAATCTATAAAATCATATCTACAACTCATGTGCTTTAAGAATAAGTAATAAAAATTGGGGATCACCTTTCATCCTAAGGAGTGACAGCGCCACTGAACACTGGATATTGGCGCTATATAAATATTTTGAATCGATTGATTGATTGAAGGAGCTATAACTGATTGAAAATAGGCATGATTTTGGCAAATTTTCAGTGTTTGTCGACAAAAATGCGCACAAAGATTCATATCTTTGATGTGTGCATGCAGCATTGCTATTGGTGCTAAGATGACTGAAAAAGAATGGAAATTTGTGAATACAGTGTCAGAAACCTAAAACATGTAAAAAGACGAAATTTCCAGCTTCTGTACGTGCTCCGCGTGTAAAAATGCACCGTGAGGAAAATTTGAAAAATGTTGAAATGCTCAAAATGGACTGAAACATGCTCTAATTTAGTCAAAAAGTGATTTTGAGCATTTTAAAAATGATGCGCTCATTAAATTCAGGTACATGACATTCAACTTTGACCTGAAGTTTATGCTCACTATATATGATTTCAAAATGGCAATTGGTTAGGATGATATGATCGATAATGTAAAACGCAAAATTGTGCGTAGATGATGTCACGCATGACTGGTCTCATTGAAAAGCTTATTGTGACTATTCCAGGCCAAGTCAAATGTTCCTTGAAGCTACCATGTGCTTAACTCATGGCAACTTGTGAGATATTGTGCGAACTAGAAATGGGGAGAAATGTAGAATAAAAAAAAAGAGCTCTGACAATAATAAGAGGTGATTCGTTCTGTGAAGCGGATCATTAATAATATTATATGAGTTATATGTTTTGTATGTTTGTTGATAAAAAAACAGTTTAGTCTACAGTTGTTTTAATGTATATGCAATTATTTTTGTGTGTATAGAAGATTGGCTTGCCTCTCCACCTGGTTACCAAGACATTGTTGTTTCTGAATTTAAGGAGGAACAGTCTGTTATTAAGGAAACATATGAGAAAAGTAGTAATGCTGGTTTGAGTGCCAAAAACCATCAGAAAACTGACATTAAACCTGAAGACAATTCTGAGCCTAAAGTCATGCGTGAGGATTATTCAAACTCAGATTACTCAACACAACATGCATATCACATAAAACTAGACCTAGAATTGCAGGCATCAGATTCACCAGTTATAGGGACTCCAGAGGGTCTCTACAAGGACTTACAAAGTGATCTATCAGAAATCTTTGCATCAAAGACTCCAAGCTTACCACTTAGATCAAGACAATACCTAAAAGCAAGGAAAGACAATTTTGTAGATTCACCCATTGTAGAATCAATGCGTACCAGTGTTGCAATGAAAACCTCATTATCAACTGGAATAGAAATGCCTGTGGATGGATTAGGATCACCAAATGGAGACATCTCGGCAGGATTTACTCTAGATGATCTCTTAAAAGAAACATGGTTGTCAGTAGAAAGTGGATCTAGCGAGATATCTGGTGAAAGCATGGCAAAAAGTGCATTAAAGGCCAGGAATGGAAGTGACGATTCACAAAAGAGTGTCCATTTCTCCAGTGGTTATCAAGAAAATATCTTTCAGGAGGAAGCAAACTCTTCTAGTGACAGATCTCTCGCAGAAAATGCTAAAACTAAGCATGAAAATCTTGATGAAGATTTAGATCAATTTTCAGGTTCTGTCCACTCTCTTAGAAACAGATTAAGTGGAATGTTTTCAGAAGATGAAAGTTTTGATCTTGATATATCCAGACCAGTTGAAGAACTCTTGCATTACATTTCCCCAGCCACTACACCAACACATTTAGAGAGTCATGGAGGAGTACGATTGTCAAGTCATCCAACAGATTCACCATTTGATATTTCAAAACATGATGCTACTGTGTCATTACTTGAAAGGTTGAAACTTACCTCAGTGAGCTCAGACAATGCATCTCCCCAAGATACTCAAATGAGAAAGGAAATGTCTGATAGAAACCAACAGGAATTTGTAAATACAATGGATTTTCATGATGATTTTTGTGCAGATAAAGTTTTGAATCTTCAAAGAGAAGATGATTGTGAATTGAGTAAAAGCACAGTGACAAGATCAACATCCAATTTTGACCTATTAGGTGAGTGGCACACTGATACTTTTTTTCTGGGAAAAATTTGCACCGCTTGATACTTTTATGGATAAATCTGTATACTATATTTTATTTTGTTGTATTATTTGATTGTTGTAATTGTTATTGATGAATTTGATTGGATGAAATAGAACACTAATTGTATTGCACTACAAAGCATACTACTATTGTTTTGGGACGCTGTGGAGGTGGAAGTTGCTAAGGAGAAGGTACATGTTTATCCCTACATGTGTATATATATATAAAATGCAAAATCAATGAAAAAACGGTGTACAATCATTGAAAGTTGACTTGCGGAACACAAATTTATTAAGCTATAACAAAATCAAA